TTTTTTTATTTGCTTCATGTATAATTTATCAGATTTCGCAAAGATTAGTTTTATGACTATCAGTGGCTTTTTATTTGTGAATAATGTATCGACAACAATCCAAAGAATAAAGTTTTATGTACCGTTATTTGCAATACAGCTCTAAAAATTGTTATTTTTGCAAAGATTACAGGAAGATCCTCCAACTGGAGTGTCAGGCGCTCCGACAGACAATAATATTATGATATGGAATGCAGTTATATTTGGGTACGAAAATGTGATTTTTATTAGTCATTCTTTTTTAATGTTTCAAAGAAACATTCTGGGTGTGTGTGTGTGTGTGTGTGTGTGTGTGTGTGTGTGTGTGTGTGTGTGTGTGTGTGTTGGTTTAATTGAATTTACTTGAACTGAGTATTTAAACAGAAAAATATTTGGCATTAAAATTCACTTTCTCAAAGTTGATTTTTACTGTTTTTATTGGTTCAAAAAATCTAACACAAAGTACATCTATAAAATATACTTGTAAAGTGACTAACAATAAAATTTTACTTTACGTTCCGAATAGATAAAATAAGATTAAATATTTAAAGTATAGGAAAGTTGCTCACACAAGGATATTTATGTTTGTGTAAACATATGTTTTAGACCACATGATACTCCATTTGAAGATGGCACCTTTAAACTTACAATAGAATTTACAGAAGAATATCCAAACAAACCACCAACAGTGAGATTTGTTAGTAAAATGTTTCACCCTAACGTATACGCAGACGGCGGAATATGTCTGGACATACTACAAAATCGTTGGAGTCCTACTTATGATGTCTCAGCCATCTTGACATCTATACAGGTACAATCTTTCCTTCCTTTTTTTTATAAAAATACATTTTGACTTTTTTCCTGCGTTTCAAATAGCTGAGAACTGAATTACGGACTTTGATAAATTAATGTTTTATGAACGTAATAATCAAATGTACAACATAACAATGCTTTTGATGTCTTTTTCTATTATATACAAATATTTCTTTTTTTATAGCTTCATACATATCTCTTGTTGTATCATTATTATAACATTGTTACATTGCGTAATTAAATGATAAAAAAGAATTATTTCAATATCATGCGGCATGAGACACAATTACAATTTATGTTAGAATGTCATAATATATATTTACAAGTAGTATATATTGCATTCTAATGTATACATGATATATTCGCAAGTCATGCCGGAGCCAAAAGTATTTTGCATGGCAATTAATGAATATCTTTAATAAAATACGAATATTTTAGAGATAAAACAAAGATCCTTTCTGGATTTTTCATAGTGTTTTTCTTTTCTTTTTTTTTTCTTTTTTTGATTTTTACATTTTAGGATCTGTATCGTTCATTATGTTGTCTTATTTTCTCTAAAAATATCGCTTATATATTTCTCATTGAAACGTCACATCCAAGAGATCTCCGTTGCATTAAAAATATCTGAAGGATTCGTTCGTTTTGTCTTAACAGCGGTTGCAATTCAGCAAAGTCTAATCACATGATGATTTGCATAATACTTGCATATATCTACATCTATCTATGTACTATTTTTGATTGTTCGTCGATATGCATCACCTTTAATTTTTTCCGATTAGAGAGAACGAAAGGAAGAGAAGGAGAAAAAAAAAGGCAAAAGGCATATAGATTGTCCTTTCCCTCGCGTTTATTTCCGATTGCAGCCATGCACATTGTTAAAAAGAAAAACCTGAAAAATCTGAAAAACCTTATTTCAAAGTGTAATGAAGTACGACTTATGTGATTGCAGTCGCTGTTAAGTGACCCGAACCCGAATTCACCTGCCAACTCAATGGCAGCGCAACTGTACAAAGAGAATCGACGCGAGTACGAGAAACGAGTGAAGGCTTGCGTGGAGCAGAGTTTTGTGGATTAGTCGCAGGTGTTAAAGCGATGCTGGTATCGCGGCATCAGTCAGCCACCAACAGCCATCAGATACAGGGGAGAAGAACGTGCAGCCTTACCAAGGAGCTAACGTTAAAAAGAAAAACGAAAGAGAGAAAAAGGGAAACATACCTAGCATGTTTCTTCCTGAAAGCTCTATCGAACTATACCACGAACCGAATGTGCAACGTTAGACGGAATTTTTACGATGTTGAATAATAAATTATTATAAAATTGCGTATTTATTTATTTCGAATATCTGATGATACACGAAATTAGTTACTATATTAAATGTTAGAGTATAAAAAACCTACTTGGCTCGTCTTTTTTGTTTTCTTCATTTCCTTTTTTCTTTTCTATGCGAAAGAAGTGTCTTTTTTTTCGGCGCCGCAGAATTGTACTTTGAATTCTAGTATTTTCATACCACATACAAATTCACATATACATCCACAATACATCTCTATATATGTACACATACATATATAGGGTATATGTTAAAAAGCTATATCGAGATTAGTGGGCGCTTTTTAAAATACATCTTTTTTTATATATTTATATATATATACTCTTTTCACTTTCAGGAAACTTTTAGTTCTGTATGTGCTATGTATTCGATTTTTTTCTCTGTCGAAAATATAAAAATGTATCTGAATATGCTGAGGGAATTCGTCAACGATTTGTGTTACAGTCTCTTTTGGACGAACCAAATCCCAATTCGCCAGCCAACTCTTTAGCGGCGCAATTGTACCAAGAGAACAAGCGAGAGTACGAGAAGCGAGTGGCCACTGTAGTTGAACAGTCTTGGCTGAATTTCCAAGAGAGTCACACGGAGGATCCTCGCTGACATTAAGTATGCCGCTTTTCACGATGTGTAAGAGATCTCTGTCGCAGCTTCTTTGTCCAAAAATAAAAAGTTGTCCCTTGTATTATAAATAACGTAAATGACAATTCGGTCGATAAGTTTCATTGGAGCTGTATACGTAATATCCTTCAATACCTCGTGGCGAACATTCCGTGTTGATTCACAGTCTCTGTAGAAAAACATGATGAAAGGAATTCGCACGACTCTCACTGTTGCAAAAAAATATTTAAAAAGAAATTTAAAAAAGTAGGAAACCGGAACGACGTGAAGTTGCACTATAAACGTATGTGATCTTTTACTTATAAGTACGTACAATATGTATTGTCTTGCTCTTATAACTAGCCGTTAGGTACCCCTCGCGCAAAAGATACAAAAATAATATCCGTACAATGTTTCGCCAATACGTTAATCTTGCAGGCAAATCGACTTACTATTTTACAAATATAGACGAGCTTGAGGAAAATGCGATTATGCTAAAGAATATGAAAGTTTGTAAGTCGCTTCTGGAAAGTCTACTTTCACCATATAATGGCGCAAAATATAAGAAAATAGTGTGATTATTTCTCGTTTTCGACTTGGTATTTACCATTAGAAAGTCACGCTTGTATTAGACTGTAAATGAATGTCATATGCCATTGAATAGTATCGAATTAATAAATTTTGCAAGAAAAAAATGTTTATAAATTCTTTATTGTTTTTCCGTTGTGTTAATACTTCTATTTAATATAAGAAAAAAAAAATATATATACAATTTTTACAGGAATAATGAAATTTTAACAAAAGAAACTGGAGATGTATAAAATTATATTACTATTATTGTATAATGGATTTCATCTTCTCTACTATATTTTTGTGAAATATTTATTTCAATCCCTCGTTATTTTGTAGTTATTTTTATATATTTTTATTTTTCATTATATATTTTATAATTTTATATTGTATATATACAGTTCGTGTATTTTTTGAACTATTTCTTCCGCACAGATATCTTACTTGTTTTTTTAATACGCATTCTAATAATTTA